TATCGCACGATAATATTATACGATAAGTTCGCTATAGTGATGACTTGAAATATTTATTACAGATTTTCTCTTACTGTGAAATTTCTTAATTTTTTTAAAAATTAATATTTCAGTAGAATTTTAGGGTCACTTTAAATTTTTTTGTTATGAGTACCAAAAAATTAACTTTGTATAGCTTTAACTTACTTTAAAACTCCAAATTATTCCTGCATCACATGGTTGCAGATGTGCTGTCATATTTGAAGGAAGAAAATGAAGCTTTATATTTGTCAGAACTAAACCTTCCTCAAGTCCATGAGTCGATGCACTATCTAATATAAGAAGAATTGACCGACCAGTAAGCCGTATTTGGTTATCGAGGTGCTTAACATAATAATTGAAAATAGATGTCTGCATCTAAGCAGTACTATTCCAGTAATAATATACAGGTAAGGTAGATTTATCAACAATTTTGAGGGCTCTAGGGGTTTTGAATTTATGTATGAACAGAGGTAGGAGTTTATGGGTGCTGGTTGTATTACATGTAAGTAAAACTGTAACACGATCTTTAGCCTTTTTCTGCCCTGAAGTTGGACCATTTGCTAATGTTTTATCAGGTTCCATACGCCAATATAATGCTGTCTCATCAGCATTATAAACATCTTCAGGATGGTACTTTTTAATTACTTCTTGTAACTCTTCACGAAATTTGGGAAAGTCCTCAAGAGGCACACTTGCAGCTTCACCCAAACGTTGTATTCTTTTATATAATGCCGTTTTTTGAAATTTGAGAGCCACCCATCAGAGGCAGTGAAACCTGTCACTTCAAGCCTTTTTGCGAGTTGTGTTGCTTTATGTTGGATTATTACATCTGTGACTGTCTGTAGTGCTATATTTGCTCGTGACACCCAAAGGGCCAGTGCCTCCTCTAGCAGAGAAACTTTCCAGTTCTTTGTCGCTTTAGAGAAGCATTATTCTGACTTAAATCAAGCGATAACCACCTCTCCTTTTCACGCATGATACCTGAAATAGTTGCTTCGGCAACTTTGAATTTTTCTGCTAATTTAACTTGACTTACTCCTTTTTGTCTTAGACGGCATATTTCAGCTTTCTGGGCACCAGTAAACTTTTTCTCTTTGGTTTCTTTTCGTTTAGCTCTTTAGAAGATCCTTCTGATGTTTCCATTATGCAAGTATTATTTTATCTTTGTTGCGAATTTAAGTGTTAGTGTAAATGAACAAGATGAACAAGAAAAAAAAAAAATGAAAAAGGTATATTTTTCTAAAATAAGAAAAAGTATGATTTCACTTACCAAAATGAAATTTGGTCAACAAGCAGTTAGAGATATAATGATTTTAGAGCTGAGTCCTGCTCAAGATGACCAAATTCATTAAGATGTAAAAAAAATTAGGCCTTTTTTATACTGTAATAGAACTAGTGATCCAAAGAGACATAGTGGTATATTTGCAAAGTGTATTAATAGATGTTTTTAGCCCAATAATTATAAAAAGTTTGACCGCTGCTCTTCTTGATTGCAGCCCTTCTTGACTGCCGCCTTTTTACCCACAAGGTTTTAACTTAAGAATAATAAAAGAAAAGAGGTATCTGTAGATGTAGATTGGATTTCGCTAAATGATAGATTCAAAAGAAAATATCTTGGTAACATTTTTTTTTCTTTATTTCCCTTTTTTTTTTTTGTTTTTCTTTTTTTTGTTTTTTTTTATTCTCTAGCATAAAAGTCTCAAGACGCACTTTAGTAAAATAAATTTGGTTTGGTTATATTGTCCCTCTTATAATCCGGATAGTAAATTGAACACTTATGTCACAATGGTTTTAGGCTAGTGCCATAAAATTTATATGATAACTCCTTATGAAGTTCGGTAGTTGGTTTCATTTGCCTTTGCTGGAATATTTTCCAGGAATAGTGGCTTATCTAATTGAATACTTTTACATAAAGTTGAGGAATTTATAAAGTGTCTGCCAATAATTTTTCTCTTTTAAAACTCTGGTTATTAACAGTATGTTTCA